TGGATCAGTAAACCAGCTACTATCAGCATATCTCAGGATACATCGGTGCCAGAGACCCAGGGGGATGTTCACTGTCGGATGTGCAAAAGTTTGTGTCGCTCCAGTTGAACGTTTTAGCGGCATATTTACCGACACTACTGATGCAAGTGAGCAGGGCCGCAGCAGTTACAGTGCCTTGCCAAATTATTCATACCCCTTGAATTTTTCCACATTTTGTCACGTTACAACCACAAACTTAAATGTATTTTATTGGGATTTTATGTGATAGACCAACACAAGGTATGGCATAATTGTGAAGTGGAAGGAAAATGATGCGTGGTGTGTTTTTACAAATAAAAGTCTGAAAAGTGTGGTGTGCATATGTATTCAGCCCCCCTGAGTCAATACTTTGTCGAAGCACCTTTCACTGCAGTTACAGCTGAGAGTCTTTTGGGGTATGTCTCTACCAGCTTTGCACGTCTAGAGACTGCAGATTTTGCCCATTCTTCTTTGCAAAGTAGCTCCAGTTCAGTCAAATTGGATGGAGAGCGTCTGTGAACAGTCATTTTCAAGTCGTGCCACAGATTCCCAATAGGATTTAGGTCTGGACTTTGACTGGGCCATTCTAACACATGAACATGCTTTGATCTAAACCATTCCATTGTAGCTCTGGCTGTATATTTAGGGTCGTTGTCCTGCTGGAAGGTGAACCTCCGCCCCTGTCCCAAGTCTTTTGCAGCTTCTAACAGGTTTTCTTCCAGGTTTGCCTTGTGTTTAGCTCCATCCATCTTCCCATCAACTCTGACCAGCTTCCCTGTCCCTGCTGAAGAAAAGCATCCCCACTACATGATGCTGCCACCACCACGTTTCACTGTGGGGATGGTGTGTTCAGGTTGATGTGCAGTGTTAGGTTTCTACCACACATAATGTTTTGCATGTAGACCAAAAAGTTCAATTTTGGTCTCATCTGACCAGAGCACCTTCTTCCACATGTTTGCTGTGTCCTCTACGATGTTTCAGTTCTCTTGCTGATGTTGGGAGGAGTGAGGAGGCTGCTTAGACAAGACATGAGTGAGAGACCATCCTTTGTGGAAGTCTTTTATGGACTGACGCACCTGTTTATCACTTAGTGATTGTATGCTTCAGGTTAGGGAGTGGAGGAAAGGATATCTCATGTCTCAAGATATTTTTGGTTTCTTTTTCCATGCATGTGTGAGGGACTTGGATGCAAGGAAAAGACAAGTGAGGGAAATGTGGATACAGGTAAAGGAATTGAGATGTACCCTTTGTTGTCCTCAGCACTCAGCATGACTTTTGTAAATGCTGCTATGCTAACACTGATTGATATGCAAGGCTATAGCAATGGAACTAGTACTGTATTACAGTGACATGGTCATCACACGGGTCATATTGTTTGAATGGACATTTGAAAACAATACACTTCCTTAACTTGGGTTTTGGCTAACTGTGTAATGAATTTAAAAAAATGTTTGAGTAAGAAATAATGATTAAAGGGGTACTCCTGTGATTTTTTTTGTGTGTCAAAGTCTGTTGACAGGTGTTGGGACGTTCTACTGCATATGTGAAAACAAAGTTGCGTAAAAGCTTTTATTCCTCCAGAAGGAGCTACAGTATTGTTGAAAATAATAGCAGTACAATGTGACTAACCAGAATAATCCAGGTTTTTAGTATATTTTTTATTGCTACATGGCAAACAAGTTACCAGTAGGTGCAGTAGATTCTCAGAAAGCAAACAAGACCCAGCATTCATGATATGCACGCTCTTAAGGCTGTGCAATTGGGCAATTAGTTGAAAGGGGTGTGTTAAAAAAATAGCAGTGTGGCATTCAATCAGTGAGGTCATCAATTTTGTGAAATAACAGGTGTGAATCAGGTGGCCCCTATTTAAGGATGAAGCCAGCACTTGTTGAACATGCATTTGAAAGCCTGAGGAAAATGGGTCGTTCAAGACATTGTTCAGAAGAACAGCGTACTTTGATTAAAAAGTTGATTGGAGAGGGGAAAACCTATAAAGAGGTGCAAAAAATTATAGGCTGTTCAGCTAAAATGATCTCCAATGCCTTAAAATGGAGAGCAAAACCAGAGAGACGTGGAAGAAAACGGAAGACAACCATCAAAATGGATCGAAGAATAACCAGAATGGCAAAGGCCCAGCCAATGATCAGCTCCAGGATGATCAAAGACAGTCTGGAGTTACCTGTAAGTACTGTGACAGTTAGAAGACGTCTGTGTGAAGCTAATCTATTTTCAAGAATCCCCCGCAAAGTCCCTCTGTTAAAAAAAAGGCACGTGCAGAAGAGGTTACAATTTGCCAAAGAACAAATCAACTGGCCTAAAGAGAAATGGAGGAACATTTTGTGGACTGATGAGAGTAAAATTGTTCTTTTTGGGTCCAAGGGCTACAGACAGTTTGTGAGACGACCCCCAAACTCTGAATTCAAGCCACAGTACACAGTGAAGACAGTGAAGCATGGTGGTGCAAGCATCATGATATGGGCATGTTTCTCCTACTATGGTGTTGGGCCTATTTATCGCATACCAGGGATCATGGATCAGTTTGCATATGTCAAAATACTTGAAGAGGTCATGTTGCCTTATGCTGAAGAGGACATGCCCTTGAAATGGTTGTTTCAACAAGACAATGACCCCAAACACACTAGTAAACGAGCAAAGTCTTGGTTCCAAACCAACAAAATTAATGTTATGGAGTGGCCAGCCCAATCCCCGGACCTTAATCCAATCGAGAACTTGTGGGGTGATATCAAAAATGCTGTTTCTGAAGCAAAACCAAGAAATGTAAATGAATTGTGGAATGTTGTTAAAGAATCATGGAGTGGAATAACAGCTGAAAGGTGCCACAAGTTGGTTGACTCCATGCCACACAGATGTGAAGCAGTTATAAAAAACTGTGGTCACTAAACTAAATCTTAGTTTAGTGATTCACAGGATTGCTAAATCCTAGAAACAAAAACGTTTGTACAAAATAGTTTTGTGTTTGTACAGTCAACGGCAGACACTGCTATTTTTTTGAACACACCCCTTTCAACTAATTGCCCAATTGCACAGCCTTAAGAGCGTGCATATCATGAATGCTGGGTCTTGTTTGCTTTCTGAGAATCTACTGCACCTACTGGTAACTTGTTTGCCATGTAGCAATAAAAAATATACTAAAAACCTGGATTATTCTGGTTAGTCACATTGTACTGCTATTGTTTTGAACAATACTGTATGTCCAAGCTGCAGCCACATGGTCTCTCATCCTGTTCAGTCACCAAAGAGCAGCTTGACCCGAAAGCCTGTAACAGTCCCTCACATTCTGCTGCGGCCTCCCAAAAAGAGAGCTCTGACTTATAAACGGCCTGTTCTTCCTATGTGGTCATAACACAGACAATGTCTCAGATGAGTAACAACTGTCACATTGTAAACCTGCTCTTTCCTGGATGTTTTATCTAATGTCAGAAAAGAGACCTGGGTGTGTTGTCTTGGATTCAGAGGTGATTCACAGCTGTGCAGTGCTGCAGTGTCCTGCTGAGATACTTGACCAAGATCAGGATGTTTCCTTCATCTGCTGGTTGATAAAGGGTCATTCATGCTCCTGCCTCGTTCAGACTGGGCGAGTGCAGAGCTCTTTGCTCTGGTATCAGGAGGAGAAACATTCAAGAGTGTAGCGATACAAAACGCTGCTGCCAGGCTTTTAACAGTCATGTTTTTAATCCTAAAATGTTATGAACCTTCTGTCCCATTAAATGCACATTTTCCATGTATGTATAATTTTACACACATTTGCCCAGAACTCATCATGTTAAGATGCAACCTCCTTTGGAAGCTTTGGATACAAATAAAGTTCTGAGTCTGGCAAATATCACAAGTTCTAAAAAGCTTGAAACATTCAGACACGTTCTTTGTTTGTTCCTCCTTCAATAGAAACTGCGGGACGCCGGTGTCGAGGTGCCAGAGGCCGGGAACAAGGGAGCAGGACCGCAGGAAGAGAACCAGAATTTAAAAGCAGAGGTGAAGACCTTGAAGGAGGAGCTGGACACCACCAAGAAAGGTGAGGAGGAGGAGGAGAGGGCGGCGGTGGCAGGCGAGAGAGAGAACAGAAAGAGAGGAGGAGCTGGACATCAGGACAGGAGGAGGTGAAACGAGGAAAGTTGGAAAAACTGTATGTAGATATCCTCTGACACACTGCGAGCGACAGCCAGGTGAGAGCAGACACAGTCAGCAGAAACTGAAGCAGAGTTGTTCACTGCTCTGCTACACGAAGCATTTGAATCAAAATGGAGGAAAAACATATGGTCTCCGTCTCCTCTAAGCAGTCAGCGTGACGTTAAAAAGAATGAATGAGGTGGAACCAGCTAGCTAACACACTGGACTTAGCAGCATGTAGTACAGCAGGTACGCCAGAAAACAACCGTCCAGTTGGAGCAGAGGAAGTAAAAGGTTCAACGCCGAACCACACGTTCAGCTAAAGCCAGTTACAGCCGGCGGCTTTGTGTCTGTGTTAGGCTGCAGCACTGCACCATGGTATGAAAGCTGATGGTTATCATATCATCCGCTTTCCTCCTTTGATGATTGTTTAGGGCAGTGCGACAGCATTTCTCACTCCTGTCAGTTTCACAAACCAGTCAGTCAGTTAATGGAGCAAAGAATCAGCTGATTAATCCCTAATGGAATGAATCAATAGTCGCACTTGGATACAAACTAGTTGTAAAGAGCTGCACCTCAGACGACTACAGCAGTGCATGAGTGATGTTAATGTAATAGGAGTGAGTGAACAGCTTCTGCACTGGGTACTTTTCAGAATAATACTTATCCAGTGCAGGTGTTGTAACACAGTACTTTGTGATATTAGTACTTAAGTAAATGATGTGAATATTCCTACTGGTGCTATAACAGGCTTTAGTTACTGTGAAACCAGGATGTTTTCAGAGACTGTTACTGTTCTGTGGCAGCCTGAGTCTGTATGAGGACATC